TGTGAAACAGAGACAATAACTACTTTGTTGGGTGGTTATAAATACTTAATAAGATTAATATTAAGTGACACATAGTAGGTACCTTATATAAATGTTCTCTATTACGAAGTGCATAATAAATGTTTTTTTTTTTTTTTGAGTCAGTCTCACTCTGTTGCCCAGGCTGGAGTGGAGTGGCACGCTCATGGTCACCCCAACATCGTCCTGCTGGGCTCCAGCGATTCTTCTGCCTCAGCCTTCCAGGTAGCCAGAGCTACAGGTGTGCACTGCCATGCCTGGCTAGTTTTTTTGATATATTGTAGAGATGAGGTCTCACCAAATTGCCTAGGTTAGTCTCGAACCCCTGGACTCAGGCAATCCTTTTGCCTCAGCCTCCCAGAGTGCTGGAATTACAGGCTTGAGTCACTGTGCCTGGTCTACAAAGTGCATAACATTTCTACTAAGAGAATTACTTGTGTCTCTTGGCACCACCCTAAAAAAATCTCAGATGTCTTGACTTTCCAGCTATACCTTTCCTCTGACCTCATCCTTATATAGTTGATTCCTGCAGGTGGATGTGCTCCCCACAGTAAGTGAACCAACTAAGAAGAGTTCCGGGAGGAAATTCAGTTGCCCCAAAAGTGGGCCAAGCTAAAGGCCATCCTCACTTTGTCAGATCTATTCCTTCAGGAACAAATTGAGGACAAAGATAGGAAATTTGGGTAAAAAAACAATAAAACATAAAGAGAAGTTCTAAATATAAATATGTGTGGTTCAAACACCTTTCTAAGACATTTTATCTACTTATTTTTTTTAACAAACCCTTATATAATGCTTGCTATGTGCCTAGCCCAGTTCAAATTATGTTACAAACATTAGTTCATTTAGCCCTCATAAGAACCTTATGAGGTAGATATTTTTTTTAAGCAGGATCTATTGAGAGGACAGAAAAACTCCCAGAGCAGGGGGGGACCCAAGGGGGCTGCCCGAGGTAGGTAGGTTTATCCCAGTTTGCAGCTGGGTAAACTGAGCCACAAAGAGGTCATGCAACTTGCTGAAAGTTACACTGTCATGCAAGTGACTTTAAGCTGAGGCATTGCAGTGGAAGTAGAAAATTATTGTACATAAATTAATGAAGAAGAGAGCCCTAAAATGCCTTCTTTTGATAAAGGGTTTGGATATTATCACAGGGGATTTAAACTTAAGAGAATTAACCATCCATCATATAAGCCAATGTGATACCTGAGCCCTGCTTCCTAGGTGGAACTTTTGTGAGCTGCCTCACTGGAGTCCTGACAGTACTGGCTAGGCCACTCTTCCCTCGATTGATTTATTTTGACAAGCATTTACTGAGCATCGACCATGCACCAGGCACAGTGCTAGGTGTGAGGATTCCAAGATACATGTTCTAGGCTCAAGGAACGCACAGTCTAGGGGGAAAGTAGAGAAATGAATCAACGGTCACATATGCACAAAAGAAAAGCAAAGGTTTCTCTGCCATTCTTCTCAGAAACTAGCCTCACCTTCTCTTGGCTCAGAGCTTGAGCCAGCACATCTATTTACATTAGAAGTGATTGCCACAAATTGTTGACTGACCACACAGAAGCCACACAGAATGTCTTTTGTTCTTTGCCTGACTTCCTTCACCACATCTCTCTCATCTCTCTGTTCTTTCCTTATTTCGCCAATCCTTTTGCTTTTTTTTTAAACACCCTCTGGCCTTTCTAGGGCTTCTCCCAAACACTTATTCTCTGAGCCTGTGTGTCTTAGGAAACCCTGACACAGACCTTGTCAAGCTTACAACAGGTTACTTTGCCTGTGACACTGGCATTTTCTGTGTCTTTGTGACCTAAGTTGTGAACTGAACACCCCAAGATGTTCCCTTACTCAAATGCGGTTTGGTTGGGGATGCGAAGATCAGGAATATTTCAGGGAGAAAGAGATCAGAGTGCTAGGGGTGAGGGACAGCAAAGACTCAGGACAAAGTGGTAAGCTCTCTCCTGCTTCAGCCTCTGAAGCACCATTGCTGCAGGAAACCCTTCCATGGCAGAGCCCAGATGGTGTTACTGGGAAAAGTGCAACCTTCAGAGGAGAGTGATTAACTCCATCACCCTATGCCCCCACACCAGGAGACTTAGAGTACTATCATCAGAATTTGGTTTCTTCTGGGTCTGTTAGTGATGTTGCTTTATGCTCTTCACTCATGGAAGGCAGTGGAACCAGATAGCTGTGTCTTCCTGCGGCTCCACTCTGGCACCTGAACAGGGTCTTTTTCTTCTTTGTTCTATCCATTTATTTCCCCAGAAATCCACCCATCAAGCATTTGTTGGACTTACACTCTGTGCAAAGCTCTCCAATGGTTACACTAGGGGAGACACAAAGATGAGGAAGACATACTCAGCGCTTTCAGGAACTTGGAATCTGTGGAGGAGGCCTATCGAAACATAATAATAAATACAGATACAGAAAGGATTTTATTAAATGTGTTGAAAAAGTGACACAGTCCTCTAAAAACAGGCCTCCTATATCCGGTGCTTTTTCTTTCCTCTATGAACTCCAGGGAGGCCAAATGGATCTTTAAGGAAAGAGGGTTTGGGACAGTTCAGCACAGCAAAAGACTTTGGGATCAGAATGGACACCTCCAAGATTTTCAATCAGCAGAGACCATATGCTGGGGTCAGAATCAGGCCAGGCTCCATGCCACGTCTTGGGACCAACGGACACAAACAGCCTGGATGACAGCATTCCAGGATTCCTCCAGGATTCCTTTGCGCAGTTCACAGCCCTTTCTTCAAGAGCATAACAACAAAGAGCACGCCAAAAGTCATGGCACACTCAGCCCTCTAAGAGTTTCATCACTGGATTAGCTGGACTTGGATAAATGATTTAGAAAGAAGCTGGCAGGGGATAGGGATGGGGGTGGTGGTGATGCACAGAATATAGGTTTGGAGACAATATTTTGGGGTAGGCAGTCATGATGTTTGGCACATAGTTTTCAATCCAAATGATAAATAAGGAAAATTTGGGGCAGATTCTCCCTTTTTTAAGGAGGTCTGGCAAGGGTTACAAAGTCATTCTAGGCCAAATGGATAATAGAAACCTCTCTATAGCTGAGTCCAAAACATGGACCCCAAAACATCCTTTTTTCTTTAACTAGGGGATTCGTCAACTTTATTTGGGATGTTTGGGAAAGGCTGAAGAGAGAATGTATGCTCCACCTGAGTCTTGAAGGATGAACATTTTATAAGGTACACAAAATGGGGAAAAGGCATCTGGACAGAAGGATGGAAATGTGGAAGAGCTGGGATGATGGGACCGAGGGTCTAGAAGCAGGGAGAGTGAGAAGGCTAGAAGGACTTCCAGGGTTGGAGCCCGCAGGGTCCACATTCATGACCAGAGGGCTTCTGGTGGTGGCATACTGGGAGAAAGGGTGCTGAAACCGGGGGAGCCAGCTACAGAGCCCCAACCCGGGGATAGGGGTGTGGGAAGAGTCCAGGGTCCCCAGGCCTTCCTTTGTCCACCAGGGGGAGTGTAGCTGCACAGGAAGATCACAGAGGAATCTGTTACAAACAAAAGTTTGATAGAAGATATACTTGGAAGCCATGGTAGCTCAGCAGCGACTCTGGTGGCTTCTGTGAGCCCCCCTCCCCCGCTTTGAGTGGTTCAGTCTTCTCTGGGTCTCTCTTCCCCAGCCCAAGACTGAAATTTCTGGAGACACTTGCCTTGGGAGTCATTTCTCTTTTATTAAGATACCACTTGGACAGCACACACACAGCATGATCAGAAACTACAAACTCACACACAGAATAAATTATGAAACTCATATTTTTGAAAGTAGTAAACAGAAGAAACTGCACTACCAGGAGGGCCTCTTCATCCAGCACCTGGAGAGTCACAAGGTGTCCACAGCCCCCAAGATTCTATGATGAATCTACGAGACATCTACAGCCAAATGTCCCCCCTCCAAGCATATTGAACGAGGTCCAAACACCTTCACACAAACATGCGCACACACACAGATGTACACACGGAACTGGGAATAGGGGACAGCTTGGAAATGACAACCAGCTCAGTGACGAGCACAGCAGACCCAGCTGTTCTCTCCCTGCGGCTCTGGTGGTGCACAAGTTCTTGGCGTTAATCCTCCACCAACCTCCTGGCTCCCTCTGAGGTGCGGTGTACCCCTGCCACAGGGAGGAGGCAGAGGCCTGTTTCCCAAGGCATCCTAGGAGCCCAGCCTTCTCAACCTGGACTGTAGGGCGAGCACATGCCATCTTTCTTACATGAGCCTTGTTTTATTGTCCCGGCTGCCAAGGCTCACCTGTCACTCCCAGAAGAATGAGTGAAGAGACTTGTCCCCGGGGAAGTCTACCAACTTGGAGTCGAGGAGGCTGCACACATGTCCTCCATCAGCCACTCTCTGGCAATGTGGTGTTGGGGGAGGTTATCTCATTTTGCTAAGCCTCATCTTCCCTAGCTGTAAAAATGAGTGTCTACTTCACAGGGTTATCATAAAGTACCACTGAAGTGATATATTGCCAAGTACTGGGCCAGACTCAAGTTAAATGTTCAAGCCTGGGTTTCTTTCCTGCCTTTTTATCCCCCGTTTCTTCCCTTCTATTTCCCTATTCTGTTTCCAGGTTCATGTGACTGCTGGTTGTCATGTAGCCCTGATGGCCTCAAAAGCACTTCTTGACCAGCAGGGCCTCCCCCCACTCCAACAGAGACTGTTTCCCAAGGCGTCCTAGGAGTCCAGCCTTCTCAACCTGGACTATAGGGCGAGCACATGCACTGTGCCACTGGGATAGGCAGAGGGGCAGGGGATAAGACCAGGGAACAGTCTGGACCTCGGTACATCCGAGCTTGGGAGAGAGATCTGAGTAGCCTGTGGGTGTGTGGAGATCCGTCTCCGGGATGATGGTGAGGTGTCATCACACTAGAAGACACAAACAAGATATAGGGGTGGCTCTGAGCTGAGTCTGGCCAGAAGAACCACTGAAGTGACATATTGCCAAGTACTGGGCCAGAAGCTAGAATCCCAGGCTGGTGCTGATCACAACCTTCAGCAGAAAAAAAACAAAACAAAACACCACCTTCCAGCAGTGGGAGATTTATCTTCCTGGCGGGCTGTCCACTGAAAGGCCAATTGGATGGGTCACAGTCTATTACTCAGGTTCTCCATCTGTCTGTCTGTCCAGCCATCCATCCGGTACATATGAAGTCTTGTAGAATGCAGGTTGACCTATACAGAAAATGCTGTTTGCTCATTCAGCACCTTTTATCCAAGGAGTCAGTGCCTTTTATAGTTACTCAACTGGAGTGTTTTATGGTAATGCTGTGAGGTAGTAACAGGACATGCAGTCCCCCTCTTTATAGATCAAGAAGTGCTCAAAGTAACACAGTGAACATAGCTAGACCACGGGGAGTGCTAGTCAAATGCAGGTCTGTTCCCCGAAGACCAGAAACTGGCTCTCCTCCTGTGGGCCTTGATACAGCTTCTCCTGGGCTGACCGCCACGTCCAGACCGGCTCTGCTGCTGCTCACACCAGCGTGGGTTTCAAGTCATCTTTGAAGTTCACGATAGGCTTGGAGCGGGCCCACAGCTTTTCCCAGGAAGCCAGCCCTCCCGCATGCTCAGGGTCAGTGTCTGATGTGCCACTGTCACTAGAGTCAGAGGAGCTTTGGAAGCAGATTTCACAGTAGGGCCGGTGGCAGCGGCAGAAGAATTCATCTGAGCTGCTGGACTCAGTGTCAAAGTAGTTGTGCTGAGAAGGCAGGGAGAGACAGCGTGGAGATGCTGGGGGCCGCAGCTGCCACTGGTCAGGCAAGTCTGGTGAGGCTCGGGACAGGTGTGGGGCAGCCAGACTTTGAGCCAGGCCAGAACCAGAAGGCTGGTGAGGAAAGGCTGCATCGCTCCCCCCAGCCCCCGGGGGCTCTGCCTGGCTTTGTTTGCTGCCTTCCTTGCCTCTAGGATCTAGAAGTAATGAAGGTTTCTTGGAAGAGGGTCTTTGTGCCCTGGAATCGGTAGTCTGTGGGGCCAAGGTGGGGCTGTCTCCACTCTGTACATTCAGCCCACTGTGTGCCCCAGAGACAGTCCTGTGTGCCCGATGCCCCACATGGGAGGGGACAGAGCCAGGAAAGTGTGAGCGAGCCCGCTGAGTTGCCCGCCTTCGCCTCACCATGTATGGGCTGAAGCCCAGTTCCTTGGAGAGGGGCATCTTCTGGGGGCAGCGGGCGGCGCTGTTCCTCCAGGGTTGCTGGAGACACGACGGGGAGGCGGAGAAGGAAGTCTCAGGGTCCAGGCCCAGATCTTGTAAGACTTCCTGAAGTTTCTCCCTGATCACTGAATTGACCCTTGACAACCGCTCTTGGGGCTCCTCTGAGTTCTCTAGATGCCTCTGTCTCTGGGGATCAAAGTCCCCCCTCCCTAGTAGGGCACTCTGACTGGGGACCATGGGTACCTGATCTCTTCTTTCTGGATCCCTGCCTTGCTCAGTCTGTGGCTTCTGGCTACAACCCAAGTCTAGATGAGCAGGAAAGTCTTTCAAGTTAGATATCTTTTCCTTTTGTCCTGGCGAGAGGCTGGTGTCCTTTATGGGCCCCTTGAGGCTTTGCATATGCGATGAAGGCACTGAGGTATGCTGGGAGACCTGCGCAGCCATGCTGGAATCATTCTGAGAGTCAGAGAGGCATTCTGAAGGCCCTTGAGCCGCCAGGCTGTGGGCAGAGGCTGCAGCCTGGACGTTTGTGCTCTGGAAAGAGGCAGGTGGGGCAGCCCACTCTGGTAGGTCATAGGTGCACTCGGCAGACATCAGTCTCACGAGCTTCTCTTTGGCATTGTTTACTTGTTCCTGCAAGCTTTCAATCACAGCATTTTTCTGTAAAACAGAAGCAAAGCCATCAACAAAAGATGCCGCGGAAGGTTTCCACACTGCCTCCCAAGTGGGAGAAAGTGTGGCTGCAGAAGACCTTGGTTTAAATCCCAGTTCTAAAATCATGGCCTTGGCAGCAACTTGGATGCAGCTGGAGACTATCATACGAAGTGAACTATCACAGAAACAAAGAACTGAATCCCGCGTGTTCTCGCTCATAAGCGGGCCCCGAACACTGGTCACACTAGCACAAGGGTGGGATTGGCAGACGCTGGACACTATGGGGAGGGAGAGAGAGAGGAAGGAGGGATGTACGTGGCAACACACTGGCTACTGGTTCCACTATCGGGGGAGAGAGGGCCTGCTAGAAGCCCAAACTTCACCTGCATGCAATCTACTTATGCAGTAAATCCCCACTTGTACCCCATCACTCTAAAACAGATAAATAAATATATATATAAATAAATCCCAGTTCTTCCAATGTGTTGGCTTTGACCTCAGGCTCTGAGGAGGCACCTCCATGAGGGAAATGAGTTGATGTGCACTGAGTACTCAGCACCATAACTGACACATACGGTGCTCACTGTCTTCACTGTTATAATCTTCATTAATATAATCGTCGTTGTTATAATCTTCACTCTCCTCTTACGCCCCCAGACCATGTGGCATTGTCTGAGGAGGGAGGAGGCCCAGCCCGGCTGCCCGCGAGCTGCTGCAGCAGCACCCGCACCCTCTTGCCTTTCTCCAGAATTGAGAGGGTCAGGTCACTCTGCAGGACACCGGCTGAATAATGTTTGGGATGGTCCAACTCTGGGTTTATTATACTTCTGAAAATTATAGAAGCACATGAAGCACATCCCCAGCGGATAAACGAATGGGCAAACAAGTATTTTGCCTCTTGTTAAACAGCCTAGGAGATGGGAAGAACAGGGAGAAGGGTGGACATTCCTGGGCCAAACACAGACGACAGGACTCAGGAGGGGCCAGAAAGACTCTCAGGTTGGTGTTGTCACCTCTTTGGACCAGATCTCTGGGGGTGAGAGGCTAAAGCTACCATGTAGCAATATCGGTATCTCCTAAAGAATGTGTGCATCAGAATTATTGGGGAAGCTTAAAAAAAGATGGTTGGGCTTAAGTCTAAGTCTATGATAGCTTGATTCAACAGATCGATAAGGAGCCCAGGTGATAAAAGAGGCAGTTCTGCCACTGACCTGCCTATCTGCTGCATGAATGTTAGCTGATAAACAGGCTGGGCCTGGGATGTGCCCATCCTCCCTGCAAAATTGTGGGGCACGGAGTAGGAAGAGGAGTGTCGGCAGTGAGTGTGCAGAGGGCGGCCATACCCTAGACACCTTCCCGTGGTGCAGCAGCTGATGCTCTGGCTCAGGCTGTCAGTCAGAGGCGGAGAGGGGTGAGATCTCAGGGGAATGGCAGGTCTTGGGGCAGATGACATGGGGTCCAGGGTTTTGGGAAGGCAATAAGCAACATTATGTTCTAGGAAGTGCTTGTCTGAATACCAAAATGTTGCCTGCCTCTTTGTCACTATCCTCTTTAGAAGCTGGAGATGAGCATTTGGATCTCCAGTTATTATGCCATAGAAACAAAAGGCTGTTTTCTGTTTTAGTGTAACTAATATAAGTTGCCTGCGGACTGAACCTGTGGCTTCCTCTCAAGTTTACGTGGGGAAGTAGCCCAGAAACGACCCTTTAGGGGAGCCGTAGCTTAAGTAAAATCGCCTCACATTCTAACCAGCAACTCCCTAGGCAAAGTCACTGAGCCCCACGTATAAGCAGGAAGGTGATTTTTCAGACAGTAAGTATTCCCAGTTTCACCCAGATTTAGTCTGTTTCTTTTACCGTCAGGAGTGAGTCCGGGAGCAGTGAGTGGCTGGTGAGTAAGGAGGAAGGGCCTGTCAGCCGAGGCTCACAGACCTATTCTCCCTCTCCCTACCTGCAGAGCAGTGAGGGCTGGGCGTTGCTGGTAAGTGCAGATGACTCAGAGACTCACCAGGAGCAGAGCGGATGAGTAACAGGGACACACTTGGGCGCCTCATGATACTGGCTGTGCCAGGTGCCCTGAGGATCTCAGAGGATGACTGTGATGGCTGCACAGGAAGGATGGCAACCCTCTTCCTCCTCCTCCTGCCCCTGCTCCTGAAGCCCATCCTGCCCACTCTCACACTGGCTTCCGGAGGTCTCTCCTGCCTCGCAGAGTTAGAAGAAGCCATCCTTGATGATAACTACTCCCATGGGTAAAATCTGAGCACTGCTTTTTTGTGCCTTATCCATAAGCTCCTTTGAGTATAGATAAACAGCATAAGCACTGAATTGGGAAGAATACTCTAGTCCCAGCAAACCAAACATTAGAAGCTGGCTGGTGACAGATTTAGAAGCGTCAACCTAAACAGTAAATTTGCCTTCTTCCAGAAAAGGAAAATTTGCCTTCTTCCAGAAAAGGAAGTGGGACTCTGTTTTTCCCGTGGCTGCATACTAATTAGAGGTGTGGTATGAGACACTGCCACTGTGAGACCAACATCTGACCTACTGTGGCAGCTGCATTTAAATGAGCTTATTAATGATCACTTTTGGTACATGGGGAGCAGGGAAACAAAATGATCACCAGTGTGTTTCATAGGATGCAAGCCATAAGGAGAAATGGAATCAACCTCTTGCTTCTATGGTTCAAGGAAGAAAAGTAGTAGGGATGTTTCCTCAGCTGCAGAGTGCAGGAAAGCTCTCCAGCCTCCGGGAAGGTTCTGTCTGCTGGCCTTCACTCAGACGGGGCAGCCAATGACAGATGCTGCCCCAACAGCTTCTGGGGGACCCCTGGCCACAGAGGCAAGCGTGAGAAGGTAGACCGTCCAGATCACAGAAAAGTAAGAAGGCCCCAGGGTGGCAGAGAGGTTTGCATGGGAGTGACTCGCATGCCAGAATCTGGGTCTGTGCATGCACTGAGGCAGAAGAGATGCTTGTGTTTATCTAACAGGCAGTGCTAGGGCTGAGGATGCAGATACTGGAACCTCTCCATGCCTGCCACGGGGCCCTGGGACTGGCTGCTGGTTCTTGGGCCTGTTCTGGGGAAGCCACTCCAGGTGTACATGTGCTGGGGAGGCCAGCTTTTTACTGCCTGTGCATCTGCACCCGTTGAGGGGCTTCCTCTGCAGACTCCAGGCATCTTTTGGATACAGCAGATTGAGTCCCTGCATGGGAAACAGGGGAGCATGGCAGAAGTACAAAAAGCACGTCGCAAATTACCACAAGGCTAAAGAGTCAGTCCACTTGGCTGTTCCAACATTAGCTGTCTGTGAATGAAAACCATGCTGGCTGTTCTAGCCAAGTTTCTGGCCTTCTGTTTAGCTGGAAAGAAAAAAAAAATGCTTCTTTGAAGACTTCACAGAGTATCAAAGGCAATGCTACCCCCTTGCCAGGTGGGAAGAAATCGGGTTTTGGAATAATGCCCTGAACGCTTCCTAGAGTGTAAAGAAATAAAGAAGTATTACTCTGATGGATAAAAAAGGTCCAGAACCAAAGAGGGACATGGAGTGAGTGCCTGGGCAGGCTAATCCCTTCATCCGTTGTGTTTCTTAGGTCCCCACCACACCATTCCCTCACTGGGGTGGCAGTCCTGTCACAAAAAAATCACAGCTTCCCAAATAGCACTGACCCCGGTATGTTCTGAACTGAAAAAAAAGTATGGTTAGTGTCAAAATACTGACTAATTCCCCTGGGCCCCTTGCCTCCTTCCTGAGTCAACATAGCCCTCAAGCTCTTCCACGTGCTTTCCTCAAGCCCACACCACACTGCCCAGGTCTGGGAGAGGAGCCAACTCTGGCTCCAATACAGAAGAAAGAAGGGCTGGGGGCTTCCTGGTTCTCCCCTGGTGCTTAATCACATCCAGAAGCCCTTGTTTAGTCCCTTCTCCCATCTGTTGACATGCCTGGACTTTCTGGGCTAATGGGCTAATGGAGATCTCTAGGTAGCACCTAGGAAAGACCTAAGGGCAAAGACAGTATGGGCCCCATAAGATCCTGGACGTGAAGGCACTACTCTGTGTAAAGTGAGAATGTATCACACAGAAGCTGGCGTCCAGGACAAGGCAGGGCCTTTGTAACACTGTTCCCTCTGCATAGAATGCTTTTCCCTGTCTTCTCTGCCTGGCCAATTTGTAGGCAACCTTCAGCCCTCAGCTCAGGGAGTCTTTTCTGGCTGCCCTAAATGAGGTTCCTTTGTCCTCACCACCCAGTATCCTGTCTGACCACCCTGATTTTTCCCTTCATCGTTCTTATCACAGTGTGCAATTCTGTTTACTTGAATATCCATTTCCTCCACTAGACTGTGAGCTTCAAGAGGGTAGGAATGATGTCTTTGGCAAGTTGCCTGACACACAGGAGTGACTTGATACACACCCATTCGTTGAATGAATGGCGTGGATGTGGGTCCCTGGGGAGATGCTGGGTTCTGCCTGCTGTTAAGGAAGTGGGAGGAAAAGAGCATGGCAGCCAGCATCGGGCACCTCTGAGGTCCTGAGACAGGGCTGGGGTTCTTCTCCCCAGGGAGCCCGCCTAGCGGGGCAGTCACTTACTTCTGTGAGGAGTCTCTCCATGGAGCTCCTCTGGCCTCTCGCATGGCAGGTCTGCTCCTCCCCACACTGGGCCTGGAAGCTCTTGCTGGGAGTGCTGAAATATTTGGCCATGCGTCTGATTGTTTGGTTTTCCTCTTCAAATGCCTTCCATTGCTTCAGCTGTTAGAGGCAAGAACGCATGTTATTTATTTAATTACACACCCAGCAACACATTCTCTCACTCTCATAAACACCAAGGAATGTCCCTGTCACAGATAGACGCACAAGCTCTTCTTTCCTCCCTGTGTACTTCATTCGGAAGGCTCATGGATAGTCATGGCAGAAGGCAGAGAGAATGTTAAGGTCATAGTGTTTTGAAAATGCTGAAGAAAGATGACAGGTAGATTATCTAGGACAACCTTAGCCTATCTACCTACCCATTGCCAGATGGATCAAAGTAAACCAGGGCTGAAGTATCTTCTAGGGGCATGTTCTAAAGCCCATGTTTAGGAGTTATCACAGGGTTAGGCAAACTAACACCAAATTGCTGGTGGACTTCTAGCCCAAGTCAACAATTAAGTCAAATATGGTGGCTCCCACCTGTAATCTCAGCACTTTGGGAGGCCAAGGCAGGAGGATTGCTTGGGTCCAGGAATTGGAGACCAACCCAGGCAACATAGCAAGACCTCATCTCTAAAAAAAATTAGCCAGGTGTGGTGGTGAGTGCCTGTAGTCCCAGCTACTCGGGAGGCTGAGGTGGAAGGATAGCCTGAACACAAGAGGTTGAGGCTGCAGTGACTTGTGATTGTGCCACTGCACTCTAGCCTGGGCAACAGAGTGAGACTCTGAGTCCAAAAAAAAAAAAAAAAAAAAATTCAAGGCTCAGACAGAAAACCACAGATGTCAATAAAAATGATAGATCTGAAATTTGACGATGTTTTTTCCTTGACAAACAAGGAAAGCCTCAGAGGTGCGTGACTGAGTTCACACAGCTAGTCAGCGGCAGAGCCACAGCCATAACCAGGGCATGAAGCCATGCCACATGTCCACATGCAGCAGATGAAGAGAGAGACTGCTAACTTCAAGGGTCTGAGGAAAAGTACTTCGGGAGAAACTGGCCCCGAGGAACAATCTGTGGAAGCCCCGGCTGGCTTAGTCTTGCAGGGATGGAGCTAACATGGAATATTCGCAAACAGGACGCTGGCTCGACCTGGTGAACGCATCACATGCATGACAGGGTAGAGGCTTCTCTTTCCCTTGGGAATCCCCAGAACTAAGTGTCCTAGTGATGGACACTGGCACCTGAGCTCTAGAAATGATGCTGAGGTGTCTGTGGACACCCTCAAGGAACCTGGGATTTCTTTACTCATCAAACAGGAATGAAGCTCTGACCATGGAGTGTAACTCAAATTTCATAAACCTCAGGTAAGATTTGAAGTCTCGCCATCAGCATCAACACCACATCCTCCTGGGTCCTCTGTCAACTCAGCACGTGTCCTTCATGGTAGCTGGAGTCTCTGTGAGTTGTGCTGGGTCAGGCCAGGAACCTCCCCTCTCAGATGGCCTTCTCAAAGCCTCCCTCCCCACAGCGGGGTGCCGTCAGTTCGCCACCCTGCTCGGAAGCTACTGGAGCTGACACCACATGGTCACTCTCTGGTCTTGGGAGGATGGGGCAGACGTCCCAGGCCGAGTCTCCTCACGCTGACCCCGGCAGTGTTGGGGTGCCTCTGCTTCCTCTCAAGTACTTCCTCTCAAGTACCACCCCCCCTTCTTTTTTTGTTTTTAAATTTTTTACTTGAAAGATGTGGGTCCAACTCAGGGTTTGGTATACAGATGTTCATTATGCAGGTTGTTGATGAGGTATGCCACCTCTCCCCTGGCAGTTTCCCACTACTGCCAGTCCTGCTCCCCCCTCCCCTCCAGCAGTTTCCCACTACTGCTAATCCCTTTTTTATAGTATTGTGATAATCGTTCAAGGTCCGCTTATGAGTTAGAGCATGTGGTACTCAGTTCTTTGTTTCTGTGATGGATCACTCAGTATTATAGCCTCTAAGTTCATCCAAGTTGCTGCAGAGTTCATAATTTTGTCCTTCTTTATGGCTGTGTAATATTCCATTGCATATATGTACCACAATTTTTTATCCAGTCCTCTTTTGATGGGCAGTGCAGTTGGTTCCATGTTTTTGCTATTGTGAATAATGCTGCAATAAACATGTGTGTGCATCTTTTTCACAGAGTGATTTGAGTTCCTCCGAGTATATTCCTAGTAGGGGTATTGCAGGGTCATATGAAGGGTCGATTTTTAGATCTTTTAAGAATTGCCAAACTGCTTTCCACAGAGGCTGTCCTAGTTTACGCTCCCACCAACAGTGTAGAACTGTTCCCTTTTCCCCACATCCTCTCCAGCCCCTGTTGTTTTTTGAGTTATTGATGATAGCCAGCTACCCCCCTTTCTTTAGCAGTACAACTTTTCCTTTCTCTCCCCAGCACCCTCATTCTGAGGCCTCCCTGTAGGACCTTTGGAGGGCCAGGTCTTCATTGGTGTAAGGCCCTTTCCAGGGCTTTTGGTCTGTTGCTCCCTAAGCTGGCCAGGTGGAGCCAACATGCCCCTTGGCTAAGGCTCTCAACCACTTAATTCCTCATTTGTGAAGATACTTGGCCCTCCAGGATTCCTGAAATACAGCGACAAGTTTCACAATTTCAGGACCTCTCCACTCCCTTCCTCCAGAAGGACAGGCACATTCTGGTTTTCTCGGTCTCTGGGCTATGTGAGTGTGGTAGGCCGAATACTGACCCCTCAAAGATGTTCCTTTGCTGTGTAACCCCCGGAGCCTGTGAATATGTGACCTTACATGGCAAAAAGAACTCTGCAGCCGGGCTCAGTGGCTCAGCCTGTAATTCCGTGCTTTGGGAGGCTAAGGTGAGTGGATTGTCTGAGCCCGCAGGTTCAAGACCCGCCTGGGCAACTTGGCAAGACCTCATCTCTACCATAAATCAAAAACTAGCCAGGCGTGGTAGCGTGCACCTTTAGTTCCAACTACTCAGAAGGCTGAGGCGGAAGGATCACCAGAGCCCAGCATGTCGAGGTTGCAGTGGCCGGGAGCGGCCACTGCACTCCAGTCTGGGTGACAGAGTGAGACTCCAACTCAAAAAAAAAAAAAAGAACTTTACAAATATGACTGAGTTAAGAATTTTGAGATGGGGAGGCTTATTCTGGATTAAACAGGTGGCCCAATCTAATCACAAGAGTCCTCATAAGAGGGAGGAAGGAGGGTCAGAGTCAAAGATGTGAAAACAGAAACAGAAGTCAGAGAGAGACAGATTTGCATATGCCACACTGCTGGCTCAGAAAGTAGAGGAAGGACAGTGAACCAAAGAATGTAGGTGGCCTTTAGAAGCTGGACAGACTGGGAAGCAGTCTCCTGAGGGAATATAGACAGACCGACACCTTGATTTTAGCCAAGTAAGGCCCATTTCAGGTTTCTGACCTCCGGAACGGTGAGATAATACATGTGTATTATTTTAAGCCACTAAATATGTGGTAATTTGTTACAGGAACAAATGTTGTTCCCTCTGCTTAGAATGCTTTTTCCTGAACCATGGGGTTAAATGTCAAGTCTTTAACAGGTACACGAGGGCCTTCAGAAGCTCCCCATATGTGCTTCTCTCCCTTCTTGGTGTTCTGTTTCAGACATGGCAAAGGATCGTGGTGCCTCAAACATAGCCTCACCCCTCTGACTCTCGTCATGGTGTTATCCCACCTGAAATACCATCCACCATCCTTCTCCCATCTGCTCGATGAACTCTTACTTTTTTCCCAAGACTGAGCTCAAACACCCCATTTTCCGAGAAGGTGTCACCAAGTTCCCAGACAGGTTGGGGAAGGTCTTCCTCCGCCTCGTGTAACTCGCCTTCCTCCGAGCACTTCACACGTGTGTTATATCATTCCTTTCGAGGACCAAGAGTCGGGGCCCTGTGTTTAACTGCCTGTTCCCAGCAGTTAATACATGGATGGATGGAGACACAAACCAATGAAGGACGCTTTCCTTTAAATAGGTCACCAGTCTGGTAAGGGGCTCTGGGATGTATAAGGGTCACTATCAGGCAAAGTCTTAAGTGTCTTCACAGAGGAGCAGATGAAACGCTTTGGGGGTCACAGGAGAAAACAATGTCCTACCTCAGGCCCCACCAGCCTCTCTGAGGGAGTGGGCGGTGGGGGATGGGCCACATTCAGGTCACAAATGCAGAGACCAGCTGATGACTGGCGGTGACCTCAGAGCTTGGCATAAAGGCTCAGGCATTTCCTGAGCGCCTTCTCGGCCCACTTGCCTCGTGAGCAAAGTCTTCCATTTCACCCAGCTCTCTAGCGCCGCCTGGCCTCCCTCGCGGGTACCTGCGCCTTTGCTTTCATAAACCCCGCCCATGACAGTCCAGGCTGAAAGCTCAGTGGCAAGAAGGAAACCCACCTCGCTCCACACCCTCCCTGATGGAGGTCGCTGTCTGCCCACTCGTTCCTGTAGCCAGAACTCTTCCATGTCACGAATAATGTCCACTTCCAAGGCTGGAAGTCAGATTTCAAGCTGCACTTCATCCAGCATTCTTGTGTGCAGATGAGAGCACCCAGGTAAGTCCTAGGTGCTGAGGACTTAAACACTGGAAGATGCTAAGGCTGCGGATGCCAGGGGAGCCGTGGTGAAAGGTGAGGTGGGGAGAGGAACTGTGAGCAAGGCCACATCATGGAGATCGCTGATTCACTCACTTTTCACTCTTGTTTGAGATCAGGAAGGCTTTGACTACTTCTGCCCCGAATTACTTTGTTCTCTTTTAACAATTTTTATTAGCTCTCAATTGTATTCTAGATGTTTTTCATATTTTCTTGTACAGTCTCTCATTTCTGTTTGTTTTCAGCTACCTTAAATTAATTTACTAATTCAATATTTTGCAGTGTCTAATTGCCTAGTCGATGCTTCTATTGGGGTTTAAATTTAATACAATATTTTCATCTTTATTCAATATTTCATTATCTAAAATTATGTCTTTTTCATGATGGCGTGCTTTAGTTGAAGAGAGGCAATGTCCCTTGAATCCTATTAACAAGAAAATCAGATGTCTTCTAAAAACTTCTATTCTACCTAAGAGGAAGGCAGCTTCTCTAAATCTTTGGAAATTTGTGGCCCTCATTTTGTGAACTGCAGGCTCTCTCCATAGGTCCTGTCTTCCTGAATTTATAGTCTTACATGGAATAGCTATATTTTCCTAGTATTGTAACTGTATTCTCTTGATCTTTCCCTCATGATCACAAGATGGCTGCCATAGCTCTGGGCATCACATACATTCAAAGCAGGAAAAAGGTAAAAGGGGTGATGCCAGCCATGCTTATCACTTTTTTTTTTATTTTTTTTTTTTAGGAAAGCAAAGGCTTTCTCCAGAAAACCTCTACTGTTCAGAATGGTGTCATATGGGCAACCCTGGGTACATGGGAGGCTGGCAAAGCAAGTGTTTAGCTTTTTCAGCCTATATAGTGGAGGTAAGTAAGGAAGAAAGGGGTTGGCAAAGAAGTTACAAACCAACAATGTTGCCATAGGGCCTAAGGGATGGGCTTCCTCCACTCCCTTTCCCCCATCGCCCAGGGAGGAACAGTCTTTGCTTTTCAGAGCCCTCTTTTTTTCCCCCTACACCCCAGACAAATAAGCCTCAGCTCTCAATGGCTTCCTTCATTCCAGTTCTTACAACATTAAGATTTGGCAAAAATCCCTCCCACTCCTGGCACCGAGGCAACATCCATCCTTAGTGTCCAGTGCTGCTGCAGCAGAATTTTCCATATTTATTTAGTCTGTTGAGTATTTTAATGAGAATTTGTGAAAGGGAAGAAGAGTAACGACCTACGCCTATGTCACACTGTCATGTCCCAAAGCGCACGCCTCCCTTTTACAAAGACACAGCAGCCCTCCATCAGCCAATACTTCCATTGTCAGCTAGCTCCCTCATGAGGAAGTAGTCCACAGTCAACTGGAAGCTGCAATGGGGACCAGGATGGGGTCTTGGTGGAGGAGTGGGATGGCAGGAGGCCTCAGAAGGGAGAAAAGAAGAACTAGGTGGGAAACAAGAAAGTGCCCAATGCCAAGTTCATTAACTTGGATTTGTGTGGCTCAGTGGTCCCTGGGCACAACATGAACTGTGACACGTCACTTCCCCTGCTGAGCCTGCGGAGTCCTTCTCCCTTTCCCTCTGACTCCCCTACGTCTCTGTTGCTGTCTGGATATTTCTGCTTCTCTCTTCCTCCCATCTTTGATTTTTAAAATTAATCCCCATAATATGAGGCATGTTTTTATTTAGCTCTTCTTTCTCCTTATTGTAAAAAGAAGAGAAATGTTTTATATTTTCCTCCAGTAAAAAGAAAGAAAAAACATTTTACATTATAAAGTTCCAAATAAGTTTTTCGCTGTGGATCTGTAATCCCAGTTGGAAAAGGTTCCCCACTCCCAGACTAGCAAAAGCAAATGCATGAGAGAATATCTATCCACTACAGAATGAAAGAGGGTTTTGGAATGAGCACAGCAGACTGGAGGGTGGGTGGAGAAGTGGTGTGCAAAGCAGTCCCTCTCCCCCCCGCCAGGGAACAGGCACCACAGGTATGAAGGGTGGAAAGTGGGAGCTGCCGCCACTGCTGGGCCCACTCTGGCTTGCCCTCCTTGCTGACCAGGGACCAGAGTTGTCCTCCGCCAGAGCAAGGGGGAAGGACAGAGGTGGCCTGTCCACTAGGATCCCCTGCCTGCTTTCTGATTCTCCAGTACGTGGATGGCATGGAAAGATATCAGTTAGCAGAAAACCAAATCGGCAATTCGTCCTGCCCAGTGAAAACTCTAGAGTGACTAAGAGGACCAGCCCTGAGAAATTCTCCCTGGAGCATACCTGCGGAATAAAGATGAAGCAGTTGATGGTGGTTGTGCACACAAAGATGCCTCCCGACGTGAGTCCAAAGGCCAGGTTGGGCCAGGAGTGCAGGTATCTGGTGACCACAAAAAGCAGCCCAGCAGCCAGTACCAGGAGGTTGACCCCGACCATGATGGTTAAGGACTGATTCACAGGAGGAGAGCTGACGTGGCCAGTCAGGCCAGCCAGATAGGCACCATACAGCAGGAGCAGACCCTGGGGGCGGAGAGGACACCAGAGGCTCAGAGAACTGGAGTAGCAGCAGGTCAAAGAGCAGGAGGTTTGAAATCAATGTCCTCATCTGCAAAACTGGGACAATAATACCCACCTGGAAGGACTGCCATGAGGACGTACTAAGATAACACAGGAAAATCCTCCAGGCAGCCCTTACACCTAGTAGGTACCTAGGAGATCGTTTCCTCTCCTTCTCTGAGAATTAGTTAGTTGAAGCAGGAGGATATCTAGAGCCCAGGAATTCAAGACAAGCCTGGGCAATATAGTAAGACCTCATCTCTACAAAAGAACAACAAAAATTAGCTGAGCATGGTGGTGTGCACCTGTAGCCCCAGCTACTGGGGAGGCTGAGGTAGAAGATCACTGCAGTGAGGTCAAAGCTGCAGTGAGCTGTGATTGTGCCCCTGCACTGAAGCCTGGGTGACAGAGACTCAAATGCAAAAAGAAAAAAAAAAACCTCATCAGAAGTCCGTCATCAAACAGGACTCTTCTGGGACAAGGCACAGGATAGGATTACACAGGAGGTAGGAGCCCTACAGAAGGAGCCCCTGGGCATGAGGAAGGAGTGGGCACACCATGCTGCTGGGTGTGAGAGCTGTCCCACCGTCATGCAGTTTTGCACTGCACGAAGAGGAGGGGACATATGGAAGCTGAACTTGACCTGTGGTTCGCTTGTCAAGCCGTGTGTCACCGCAGGGGCAGTGCCCAGAGGGAGGGGGTCTTTTTTCTAATTTGCCCAAAGGCACCATCTGCTTGCCAAGCCCTGCACCTGCAAGGCTGCATCTGCCTGGAAGGGATGCCCTTTGCTAATTTGCACAAAGCATCTCTCCAGGCTAGCAGGGGCTCTGTGCCAGGGAGAGTGTAAGGGAGAGGGATGAAAAACAGGAGCAAAAAGGTAGACTGGGACCCGGCAAGACTGTGGGGCCAGGCAGAGGCAACAAAACTCTATACTTTTTACCCTCTTTGTGGCCTTCCCTGTGCCCACTACAAAGGACCCAGGGTCCTAGTCTTTCCTCCTCCCCATGAATATAAACCTGCTCTCAGAGTTCCCACTGGTACCAACGAGAACAGAACTGGCAGCATCCTCAACTGCTGCCTTCCTCAGAAGAGTAACATTTATACAGAAATCAAAGCTTTAGTCAATAATATACAATATATAGATTCAACATCCGTTCACCTTTCTGACTATGTGCAATGTGCCATGCTAGGTATAGGGCAGAAAACAGTGCTATAAAGAAGAGTAAGTCATAGTCCTGGCTTTTTTTGGTTTTTTGTTTTGAGTTGGAATCTCACTCTTGTCTCCCAGGCGGTAGTGCAGTGGCATGATCATGGCTCACTGCAGCCTCAACATCCTTAGCTCAGGCGATCCTTCCACCTCAGCCTCCTGAGTGGCTGGGACTTTAGACACACGCCACCGTGCCTGGCTAATTATTTTTTATTTTTTTGTAGAGATGAAGTCTTGCTATGTTGCCCAGGCTGGTCTTACACTCCTGGGCTCAAGCACTCCTCTCACCTCGCCCTCCCAAAATGTTGGGATTATGGGCATGAGCCACATTTCCCGGCCTGGTCCTGGCCGTCAAGGCACCCGATCTAGGAGGTAGATTTAAGGCATGCACACAAATGGCCATGTTTATAATACAGTATGTGAATACACCATTGGAGACAAGGTGGGGGTGGGAACTATGGGATTCAGAGGGAGAACTAATTAATGAAAAGTAGTTTCTAATCTACTAAAAACTAGTAATGAAAGTAGTCTTGAGTATCAGCAGGACACCTGATACTCTAGTGACTCTGAAATTATACAACCTGGCCAATTCCACCTGCAGAGATGGTCCTGAAGGTAAGTTTTTGGAGAACTGACTGTGCCAGGAGGGAAGGAGTCAGCATGGCAGAGGTGCCTTCTGTGTACCCCCAATGCCCAGTGTCCCAAATAGGACCTGAGGGCCAAATGTGGCCACCCTGAGACAGCAAATGACTAGAGAACACGTACATCAGGCAGCGAGTGGGGCCTGACTTTTGGGTAATAATGCTGCCAGGTAGTATTTAGCAATTTAATCAAAGGTGAATGAAATTAATTCTATGATTGTGAAATGTCCAAGTATGATTCCACTGAAAGATTTTAATTCCATTAAAATTCTTGCTAAAAGAGAAATATGTATGGATAAAGTCTCTACACATCCATGGTTCGTGTTTGAGTGAGTCATATCTGATCCTCACGCGTCATTGGCCTTAATTGCTGAGGAGTGTGGGGTGGGGGAGGGGGGGTCAGGTGATAGGCTCAGGTGGACATCCTCGAACATAATATGCAGACGGGGTGCTCCTCAGGAGCTTCTAACTGACCAGAGAGCCTATGGGGGAGCTCAGTATGTTTCCTGAATCTCAGCATCCTTTTCCTTCGTTATCCTCCAGAAATAGAAACAGAAATGGGAGTATTTGAAAGGCCATGGAGAAAAGAAGTCAAGTTGAGTCATAAAGTGAGTTGCTATGGGGAAAGTGCTGGGTTTCTGGGCTAGGGAGGACACGCTCTTTCAAAGGGATTCGAGGAACTGAGAGAGGCTCTGTGTCTTCCAGAACTGTCCGAGGGCAGTGGAGGAACAAGAATAACAATATATAACATTTACTGATGCTCCTTATATGGGCTAGGAATGGTGAAGACTCTTAACATGCATGATCTGTTTGGGATGTTATCATCACCTCCATTTTACAAAGAGGGACCTGAGGTTTAGAGAGTTTCCATGAGGTCCAGGGTCAGCAGAGAAGGGGCCGAGTCAGAATTCAAACTCCAATCTATCACATTCTGAAGCTCATTTTTTTTATCTTTAGAGGTCAAGAGCTGTTCACTTCCTAGTCTTATTTTTATTTATTTATTTATTTAATTTTTTTGAGTTGGAGTCTCACTCTGTTGCCCAGACTGGAGTGCAGTGGCTGCTCCCGGCCACCGCAGCCTCGACCTGCTGGGCTCTGGTGATCCTTCCGCCTCAGCCTTCCAAGTAGCTGGAACTAGAGGCGCGCGCTACCACATCCAACTCATTTTGATTTATTGTAGAGATGAGGTCTCACCAAGTTGCCCAGGCAGGTCTTGAACCCGCGGGTTCAGACAGTCCACTCACCTCAGCCTCCCAAAAGCGCGGGATTACAGGTTGAGGCACCGAGCCCGGCTGAGTCTTATTTTTTAAAATATTTCCATCAAAAGCAATGTATGCACAGAGTTAGGAAGCAATATTTCCCTGCCCTAGTCCCACTCATCCCCAGGCCTGTTCCTCAGAAGCAACTACTTCTAATACTTTCCTAGCAGTGGAGTGGGTAAAGTTTACCTTTAAAGGCCACGTATTTCTACAAAAACTCCCTCTCTTCTGCTGGCAATTAGTCAACCAGGCCTATCTACCCTGGTAGTCAATAGGCAGCCTCCTGCTACATGGGCTTGCTCTGTTCATTGAAACAGGCCTCACTATTTCCCTCAGAGCCAGTTCTCTGTCCATCTAAGCTGAAAACTAGCTGTCCCGTTCTGAGAACCTCCTGTAGTGTCCCATGCAGGTGTCTTGTACCCTCTAGAAATAATACCCTACTTTTGCCCATCTAACAGAGACAAATGAGTCCAAAGTTGGGAGATTTGGAGCAGTACAGGAGACACTTTGAGACAGCTGGAGCCCCTCAAAGGACAACAGGAATGTTGCCATCTGTCTCGGTGCCAGCCAGATCTGCTTTCAACCGGAGTAAGTCAGGTGGGTGAAAATCAGCAGGATACCTTGACCCAAATCTTGAAAAAACACACAAGAGGCATAATAAGGGCACTTGGGAGAACAAATCAAGCTGGGCTGAATGTCTTCTTATAACTCCTCTTGCAGAGGAGCTGGGGAGAAACCTGGTATTGCCAAATCAAGGAAAAAACAAAACAAAAAAACCAGACCAATAAATGGGAGAAATAGTGGATGAATTCCAGGTGATCTTGGGGAAGACTGAATGAGGGCATCTAAAGAGTTGAAAAAGTGACATCCCCCCAACAAATAAATAAAACACAGAAAATGGAAAGGTCACATTTATGTATCCACAGAGGTCCCCTGAGTTCAAGACATCACATCAGTTCCCATAATTCCCTCTTCATATCCATTTTGTTGGTGACAGACTGAATCCCAAGGAGATGTGGTTACCAACCTTGCATCCCCAAACAAGAGCAATCCAGACATCGGAGTACCGGGATGCACAGAAGTGGGTGCTGGTTAAAGAGCAGGACACGTCTCTCTCTGTCACCTAGGAGGGACACAGAGTCAGGACTGGGGTGCCCACAATTACAGGAATACACAGAATCTCTGTGAACATCCTGGAGTGTGAACTCTACAGCACATGATTTCTCCTTCAGTATGTAAAAATGGTCAAACTCGGGAGACTTCACTAGAACCTAAATGACAGTGACTATGAGTTGGAGGACAGGTGACAAAATTGGACTGACATATGCATGCTTGGTGGCAGCAGGGCTTACCCCTCAGTTATGTGCTTTGTTACCCCAATGTAGCAAAGTGCCTCAAATTAGTACCTCAGCAAAATTACAAACCATTTCATCATGGAACTACCATTTGCAAACAGTTGACTCCTTAAACATGAATTTTGCAATCACGATTCCATTGTATTCCACAGTTGCTTGTGAGGTTGGAGACAGAATACTTTCTACTAACTGAACGTTATGTACTGTTCATTATTTTGCTTAATCATCACCACAGTCCTATTAAATAAGCAGCATTTTAATCTCCATTTTACCTATGAGTAAACAGACTTAGAGAGGTTAAATAATTTTCCCAAGGTCACATGGCTGGTGAGCTTGGTAGGACTGGGATTTGAACCAGAGTTGACTGACCCCAGAGACCACCTCAACTACCTCTACCTCAACAATTAGGGGAAGGTAACTGCCTGCAGATGAAAGTTCTCATTATTGATAATGTGGAAGTGGGGATAACTGCCAGGCAGATTCCAGTATGCTGACATCTCAGTAGATACCCACGAGGAGACACTCGGGCAGGAGGAGCAGTGAGAGTGCCAGCACACCCTGCAGACAGGCGCAAGGCGTTCATGGAAGCCATAACTCCTTCCTCTTCGAATCCTTTATCTTATTGCATCGATGACCACACAGTGAATGTTGTTGGGAGGATGATCTCTGTGTATCCACAGAGGCCAGTCCAGTTCAAGGACTAGATGCCCTAGGGATTTGGGCCCCTCACCGTCATGCTGACACCAAGGATCTGGAGGCACTGGATGGGGTCAGTCAGCACCCATGTTACGAGCAGGATCACATCAGCCATCACCAGAATCGCCACCAACCCCAGCAACTGGAGGTCTTTGATAATCTGCAAGAGAGTCAAGGTCAAAACTTCTCCTTGCTTGCTGGCTATATAACACAGGGGCTAGAGTGTTCCATCTGCTCTAAGCTATAGGCTCCAGGGTCAGCTCTTCTGAGGAGCTTCAAGTCCAGCCATCAAAGAAAACAGACAGCTGGGCTCAGTGGCTTAGCTTGTAATCCTGCGCCTTTGGGAGGCGGAGGTGAGTGGATTGCCTGAGCCTGTGGGTTCAAGACTCACCTGGGCAACTTGGTGAGACCTCATCTCTAAAAAATAAAAATAAAAAATAAAAAAAAAGAAAACAGACACTAAACATTTGCAATGATTTCTATGTTAATACATCATTATTTCCATTAAACATATCCACATGTTTAACTTTTTCATATCCTACCTTTTCCCATACAGGCTTCAAGGGGCCTTATAAAATAAGTACACTGTTATTTCTAGATACGTTTATAGGAGCACATAGAGAAATGTGGAGATTTTTGCATTAAACTGCTAATAACTATTAACTCATAGGGTGGGATTCAAAGATGAGAGTGGGTGCAGCAGGAATTATTAGCATTTTCTTTATATACATATGAACAGCAGATGCTTCTCAATTTAGGATGGGGTTATATACTGATAACCTATCATAAGCTGAAAATATGTAAAAAATACACTTAATACACCTAACTTACCAAATATCATAGTTTAGCCTAGCCTACCTGAAATGTGCTCAGAACACTTACATTACCCTACAGTTGGGCAAAATCATCTAACATAAAGCCTACTTTATAACAAAGTGTTGAGAATCTCATGCAATTTATTAAGTACTGTACTGAAAGTGAAAAACAGAATAGTGGTATAGGTACTTGAAATATGGTTTCTAAACCGGGTTAGGTGGCTCAGCCTGTAATCCCAGCGCTTTGGGAGGCAGAGGTGAGTGGATTGCCTGAGCCTGCGGGTTCGAGACCCACCTGGGCAACTTGGCGAGACCTCATCTCTACAATAAGTCAAAAACTAGCCGGGCATGGTAGCACGCGCCTGTGGTTCCAGCCACTAGGAAGGCTGAGGTGGAAGGATCGCCAGAGCCCAGCAGGTCGAGGCTGCAGTGGCCGGAAGCGGCCACTGCACTCCAGTCTGGGCGACAGAGTGAGACTCCAAATTTAAAAAAAAAAAAAAGAAATATGGTTTCTACTAAATGTGTATTGCTTTTGCACCACTGTAAAGTTGAAAAATTCTAAGTCGGGGACCATCTGTATTTGACTTACTGTGAAGAAAATATGTTACTTTTGTGACTATAAAAATAAAATAAACAATATATACTGTGACAGGATTAAAACATTGGAAAACATCAGGAAAGAGAGAAAGTAAGGAGAATTATGATGAAGACTCAGGTAAGGAGTGTACACAGCATTCATTAATTAGGACAGAAATGTGCATCTGAGTTTTTGACAACCAATGAAAAGAAAGAAGCACCAGTTACATGATTCAAGGTGTTTGTAAGAAACAAATAAGTTGCCTAATCAAACTGTTAAAAACCAGTGATAAAAAGAAAATCTTCAAAGCAACACTGAAAAAAGACACATTATATTTAGAGGAACAAAGATAAGAAAGGCACTGAACTTCTTATCAGATACAAGAACAAGCAAGAAGACAGTGCAGGAACATCTTCAAAGTACTGAAAGTAAACCTCAGTCTAGCAATTTTTTTTGAGTTGGAGTCTCTCTCTGTTGCCCAGGCTGGAGTGCAGTGGCACACTCATGGCCACCCCAGCATTGACCTGCTGGGCTCAGGTGATCCTTCTGCCTCAGACTTCCAATTAGCTGGAACTATAGGCACATGCTACCACGTCTGGCTAATTTTTTATTTATTGTAGAGACAAGGTCTCGCCAAGTTGTGCGGGCTGGTCTCGAACCTAGGAGCTCAGGCAATCTCACTTGCCTCGGCCTCCCAAAGTGTTGGGATTACAGGCTGAGCCACCAAGCCTGGCCTCAGTCTAGAATTCTATACCCGTGCACCCTTTGGTAGCTCAGCTGGTAGAGTGAAGGACTGTAGGATTCTATACCCAGTAATACATCTTTCAGAAAAAAAGGCAAAATAAATGTTTTTTCAGATAATCAAAATCTAAAAGCTGAAATAATTCAGTAGTAGCACACTCATACTAAAATGTTAGATATCAGGCCAAAGGAAAATGATAACAGAAAAAAAATGTGGATCTATACAGAATATTAAGAGCACTGAAAACAATAACAACACAGAAAACTACATGATCAATATTATTATTTAAATATCTTTAAAAGATAACTTTTACATTTTTTAAAAGTTGAAGTCTCACTTCATCTCAGACTGGAGTGCAATGGCACGCTCACAGCCACTCCAGCATCAACCTTCTGGGCTCTGGCGATCCTTCCGCCTCAGCCTTCCAAGTAGCTGGAACTACAGGCACACACTACCACGCCCAGCTAATTTCTTTTATTTATTGTAGAGATGAGGTCTCACCATGTTGCCCAAACTGGTCTCAAACCCGTGGGCTCAGGCAATCCTCTCGCCTCGGTCTCCCAAAGCGCTGGGATTACAGGCTAGAGCCACTGCGCCAGACCAAAAAGGAAACTTTTAAAAACAAAATTTATAACAATTGAATGGGGCTTATATGTAAAAGTAAAAACAATAACACAAAGATTGGATGGCTAGAAAAGAAAGCATACTACTGTAAGGTACTTATACTATTCACAAGTGCCAATTATACAATTATATACAAACTCTCTCAGAAATTGAAAAGAAGGGAATACTTCCCAACTCATTCTATAAAGCTGGCATTACCCTGATACCAAAATGAGAAAAAGATATTACAAGAAAAGAAAATTACAGAGAAATATACACTAAGAACACGGATGCACAAATCCTAAAAATTTATAGTATGTATTATGAGTATAATACATCATGACCAAGTGGAGTTTTTAACCCCAGTAATACAAGATTGGTTTGATATCCTAAAATCATTTAACATAATTCACCAAGTGAATAAACTAAAAAAGAAAAACCATAATCAATCTCAATAGACCACAAAAACCTTTGATAAAATCCAAAATCAATTCTTAATAAAAACTCTTGGCTGGACAAGGTGGCTCATGCCTATAATACCAGCAGTTTGGTATGCTGAGGCAAGAGGATTGCTTAGACCCACAAATTTGAGACCAGCCTGGACAATATAGAGAGACCTAATTTCTACAAAAAATAAAAAAATTAGCTGGGCATGGTGGTGCACACCTATAGACCAGCTACTAGGGAGGCTGAGGTGGAAGGATTGCCTGAACCCGGGAGGTTGAGGCTGTGGTGAACCATAATCTTGTTACTGCCCTCCAGCTTGGGCAATAGAGTGAGTCCTCAACTAAAATAACAAAGAAATAATAAAAGCTCTCAGCAAAATAAGAATAGACTGACACTTCCCCAGTTAGATAAATGGCGTCTACAATAAAACAACAGTTAACATAATATTTGGTTTTGAAAGACTGAATGCTTTTTCATCAGATCAAGAATAATTCAAGGATGTCTGCTCTCATCACTTCTAGTCAAGATTTTACTATTGTTTCTAGCCAGTAACACCAGACAAGAGATTGGAAAGAAACTATCTTTATTCGCACATGATATGACCATCTACGAAGAAAATATTATGAAATCTACACAAAAAAAGCTGTTAGAACTAATATGCAGTTTAACAAATTTGCAGCATACAAAAATCAATTATATTTCTATAAATTACAAACAAAAAATTAGACATTGGAATTTTAAAATCAATAACATGTATAACAGCATAAAATATAATATATTGGCTGGACATGGTGGCTCAACCTGTAATCCCAGCACTTTGGGAGACTGAAGAGAGAGGATTGCCTGAACCCAGGGGTTCGAGACCAGCCTGGGCAACTTGATGAGACCTCATCTCTACAATAAATCACAAAAGTTAGCTGGGCACGGTGGCATGCATCTGTAATTCCAGCTACTTGGAAGGCTGAGGTGGAAGGATCGCCTGAGCCCAGCAGGTCGAGGTTGTAATGGCCATGAGCGTGCCACTGCACTCCAGCCTGGGTGACAGAGAGTAAGACTCCAACTAAAAAAAAAAAAAAAAAAAAATATATATATATATATAATATATATAATATAGTTAGAAATATATATAATATACTTAGAAATAGATTTGATAAGAGCTCTGAAAGACCTATAATGAGAAGTACAAAAAAATTGCCAAGAGAAATTAAAGAAGACCTATAAACAGGCGTTGAATCAAAAGATACAACACTGATAAAAAGTCAATACCCCACAATCTGATCTATAGATTAAACACAATTCCAATCAAAATCCCAAAAAGATTTGTGCAGAAATTGGCAAACTGATGAAAAAGTCATATGGAAATTCAAAGGACCTAGATTAGCCAAAACAATATTGAAAGAGAAGAAAGTTGAAGAACTAAATATCCTGATTTAAAGATTATAAAAAACTACAGTGAAAGAGACCAAAAAAAACCTACAGTGATCAAGGTAATATGGTATTGGTGTTGAGATAAACACATCAATTAGACAGAATGGAGAATTCAGAAATAGATCCACACATCTGTGGATAACTGATTTTCGACAAAGATATAAAGGTAATTCAACGAAAAGGACAGTCTTTTCAACCAATAATGCTGGAACAATTGAATGTCCATATGTAAAAATAAAATTCAATTGATACATTATACCATATTCCAAAATTAACTCAAAATGAATCATAGGTCTAGAAGTAAATCTCTAAAATTTCTAGAAGTACATGCAGGAAAAAAAAACTTTAAAGGCTGTTAGTCAAAACATTAAAAAATATAATATCAAAAACACAATCCATAAAAGAACATATTGGTAAACCGGACTTCTTCAAAATTAGAAATGTCTTCTCTTTGCAAGATACTCTTAAGCAAATGAAAAAAATATAAACTAGCTGAGCACGGTGGTTCATGCCTGTAATCCCAGCACCTTGGGAAGCTGAGACAGGAGAATCTCTTAAGCCCATGAGTCTGAGTACAGTCTGGGCAACATAGTGAGACCTGTTCTGTACAAAAAAATAAAAAAGATTAGCTGGGTGTGGTGGTGTGTGCCTGTAGTCTCAGCTACTCAGGAGGCTGAGGCAAAAGGATTATGTGAGCCCAGGAAGTCAAGGGTGTGTTGAGCTGTAATCGTGCCACTGATCTTCAGCTTAAGCTTGGGCAACAGAATGAAACCCTAAAATACCTTGGCACCCACCTAACTAGAGAAGTGAAAGACCTCTACAACAAGAACTAGGAAACACTGCTCAAAGAAATCAAGGACGACAAACAAAAAAAACCATTCTATTTTTGCTCATGAATTGGAAGAATTAATATTTTCACGATGTCTATCCTACCCAAGGCAATCTACAGATTCAATTAAATACCTATCAAACTACGTGGCAGTGTGCGCCTGTAGTTCCAGCTACTTGGAAGGTTGAGGCAGAAGGATCGCCGGAACCCAGCAGGTCGAGGCTGCGGTGGCCGGGAGCGGCC